ACGTCGTCACCGTTGCTAAAGTACGATCGTTTTACAACGCATGGTCAGTAAAATCAGAATGTTCACTGTTAAGGTATCGAAATCAGTCTTGCAGATATAATGCATTCTGTTTGACAAATAACATTTTTACTCTCTATGCTATGCTGAAGAGAGGATCAAGCTTTTTATGCAGCAGGATTCCTAAGGTTTTGTCCCGGCCTGAAGAAAATACGTGAAGATCATACCTTAAACTTGAAGTACGAGCGTTCTTCTTGTATTCAGAAGACTAATTCCATAGTCTTCATATGTTTTACGGAATTGCTTCGCATATAAAGTAGAATTCAACCCTAAACGGACAATTACTGCAGCTTTCTGTGATGTAATTCAAATCCTCCGTATGGAATAATGGCTGGCATCGTTGAACGTCCGTTTAGCAGATGTCAAAGACTGAGTTTTGGTGAACTTTGCGTTTGCAAAGGACGGTGTTACAATAAGAAATGCTCTCCTTAGTGCCTTGTATAAGACTGATGTGAGAAACAAAGCTGACAGCGGTGAATTTACCGAAAAGGTAGTATGCCTTCAAATTGAGTCAAAACTATGGTCGCCTTACCTGCTAGCTTAAAAGTTGTGGCCAAGTCTGAAGTCAACCGATGGAGTCGGCTAACTCCTGTCAGATCAAATATGCCGTGGAAAAAAGAAGAAAAGAAAGTTTTTAATGTTTAAAATGTCGGTTTTTCTTACACTTTCATGATGGGACCATTCTGACGCCTTTCTTTTCATGAGGTTCAACTCAAAACGCACCCTTCGGATTCAGTTAGCTCATCGCTCATTTCAAAACGAAGGCGCTTTTATACGAACACTATCGAGGAAAAAAGAAAAGATACACATACATGGCCTTACGTTACGGAATAATGTTGACTTAACAGAAAAGGCAATTCGCAGAAAGAGGAGAGGTAGGATCCAGGTGAGGGATCCTGTTATAATCAAATTAGAATGCGAGAATAACTCCGTTGTTGTTTAACACTGTGACATCAAAAATCATGAATTAGACTGGTAACACACAAGCCTATTCTGTGCCAAATAGAACATCAAAGAATAGAAGCTATCATAAACATCTTAGAAAACATAGAAACATCAAAAATGCTTTGTTCATCTAGGCTAGCAGATGTTTGAACAGCGAAAATGGCGTGGACCTGAGCGATATTTGGAGTTCAGCTGATACTAATACATTGTGAACATTAATTTCTGCTCGACCCCTCATGAATATGAATTAGTCCGGAACGATTTGACTTTTGTCAAATCGGTTTTTGTCATTGTGCTCTGACAACATTCCGAGTACGCCTAGAAAGGTCGGTGATTTTTGTAATAAAACCTCTATGCGGAACGCTTAAGTAAAAAAAATATGAAGTCCAATAACTGTGTACGTTTATAAATATCGTCTAATTTTCCAAGATATGCCTGAACGTAAGATATTTGAATTGGAGATTGCAATCGAGAAGTGGTAGGCTGTTTAAATACAAACTGAGCAAAATATTTTTCATATCCATCTATACATCCCAAACAGCAGAAACAGGACTTGTAACGGCTGCGTCGGCTCCACTGAAATTTACGGTCACTGAGCTTGATCAATTGCTTGATTAATGACCGGTCAAGCATCCTTTTATTCCGATGAATCACCAACAGAACCATATAGTTGGTTTCTATTTTGTTGATTTCCTGATGATGAGCGATGCAGATTTTGTCGAAACGTTGGAATGCTTGTATATGAAAGTTTGACTTGTTTTTGCTGCCAACCATGTAATCAGAAGACCAGTCAATTTTAATTAATGATCAGTTTTCTATGTTGTCACTTATCTTGCTGGATATGGGGTCATAGTTTTCATTTACAGGCTACTAGAGACGTACCTGGCCACGTTGAAGACAAATCAGGACTTGGAAGACAAACTGTTAAACACCGTTGAAAAGGCTGACCACGATAAATTGCTGTTATGTGATGAACTAGACAATTTTCAGGAGCAAATGAGAAAGGCTAAGGAAGGCATACAATACTTAAGAAACGAATGCGTAAGTATAGACAGATAATAATAATGATGATAATAATAATAATAATGATAAAGTATTCATCGTGATAGTGATAAAATATTCATCGCCTGCATTTAATAGAATTCGATTACCGATAGTACAGCAGGTTACTGATGACTTGAATCTGTTTGGAACTGTAGTATCAACGCTGCGACGATTAAAGGCATAACCATTTATCACTAAAAAA